TGTGGGGGCGATATGCTGACTCTGTAAACCGCTTAGAGAGGGCTGAAAGCCCTATGAAGCAGTATATAAGTCTAACTGCTACTGCTATTGCTATTAAAGGCTGCTCCTGCTATCAAAAAACAAACAAAAACAATTTGTGTATTCAGGAAAGCAAAAAAATAAATAAATCCCTTTTAAATCCTTTCTCACCATTTCAATTATCCGTCCCGGGATCAGGCAATAGGATCTTGAAGTCTGGATTGCAGGTTCTTGAGTACAGTATTTTTCGGAGTATAAGACGCAATTTCCCCCCCCCCCCTTAAAAGAGGATGAAAATTTCGGTGCGTCTCATACACCAAATGTAGGCCCGCCCACCCCCACCCTTTGACCTCTGCCCCCCAGCAATTTGCCTCCTTTCCAGCAAACGGGGAAAATGGGGCTTCCGGAGGCTGCAATAGGCTATGGCAATCCCTGCAGCCTGAAACAGCTGATGATCGGGAAGCCCTGCGGAAACTGAAATTGAAACTGAAACGGGCTATTTGCTGCAAGGAGGCAAATTGCTGGGAGCCAGAGGCAGGGTTTTTTTTTCCCTCGTGCTAATCAGGCTAAACTGAAACAGGCTGTTTGCTGTTTGCTGCAAGGAGGCAAGTCAGTAACTATAAATGCCTATAGAATGTTCAAGTTATTAGACTTATTTTTCTAAACTGCCTTAATATTGTTCTAGACAACTGAACAAAATGAAGCAGCTTTTTAAAATAAATGCTTGATCTGAAGAGATGCCCAGTGCTATCGTATCCTCTTCTAAACAGCAGAGAATAACGTATACTTCCAGGACCAGCATCTGTACAAGTATTGTCTGAAATGTAACACCACAGTGTACCTGGCGTCCCTGTTTGCTGCAAGGAGGCAAAATGCTGGGAAGCCGAGGCAGATTTCCTCCCCCCCCCCTTGCTTTACTCCCCAAAAGCTAGGTGCGTCTTATACTTTGGAGTGTCTTATACTCCAAAAAAATACGGTAATTGTCTTACTGCAGGTGAAATACATGCAGTTTGCTAAAGAGCATTTTTAGCATTAGTTTCCTACATTACTGGAGAATGACGGGCTATTCCAAGTTCTTAAGGCTACTTATGCGTTCTCCATGCCTGTTCGCGAGTATACCTTAAGGCAGTGGTTCCCAAACTTGGCAACTTTAAGACTTGTGGACTTCAACTCCCAGAATTCTCCAGCTAGCTNTTCTTGTCCTGCCCTCAGGTGCCTTGGAGAATAGCTTGACTCCCTCTTCTTTGGGGCAGCCCCTGAGATATTGGAAGACTGCTATCCTGTCTCCCTTAGTCCTTCTTTTCATAATACTAGACCTACCCAGTTCCGAAACTGGACTTCAACTCAGATGCTCCATCACTGGAGGTTTTGAAGAAGAGACTTTGTCTGAAGCGGTGTAGGGTTTCCTGCCTAAGCAGGGGGTTGGACTAGAAGACCTCCAAGGTCCCTTCCAACTCTTGTCATTCTATTCTGTTCATCCAAAGCAGACACACCCAGTTCCAGCAACCGGACTTCAACTCCCATCATTCCAAAGCAGCCAGCCCAAGGAAGCTTTGCTTAAAGCCCCCTGTGAAAATATGGATGCCTCTTGGCCGACCCCAGGCATAGCTGGCCAGGCCTACTTAGGTAGAATAAATGAATCATATGTGGTGGATGATTCAGAGGCGAGAGAGGCCGGCTCTCGCGGAAGCATTGGGTTAGCCACGAGGAGAGGAGGCGTCTGTCTTATTTTCAGACTTTGCAAAAATAAAAAAGTGAAAAAGCTTTAAGGAGTTTCAATTCCCCCCCCCCCCACGAGCACACCCACCGTCTTGTGGCTTGCTCCAAAATAGCTTCAGAAACAGCAGCCAAAACGCTACCGAGCCTCGGCTACCTCCGTCAACTCAGGGTGGGCGGCAACACGCCGTTTGCCACCTGCAAGAGTGTATCTTTGGCGGCCGGTTGAAATGATGCCATGGACACCTACTACCATATGTGGTGGCCATGCCCAAAAAACAAATTGGCAGAAAATGCAATCAGGCGGCTGATCGAGATAACCGAAGAGGAAACAGAATTCAAACCAGGACTTTTTCTTTTGGGAATCATCAACCGTAAACCTAACAAGGGGGTCACCTACTTAATAATACATATTATTACGGCAGCAAGAATGGTCTTTGCCCTAGACTGGAAAAACAGGGAAATTCCACAAGAAGGGGAAGTAATTAGGAACATTCTGATCTGTGCTGAAATGGATAAGTTGACAGGGGAATTGAAGAACGAAGACGAATCAATTAAGCGAATCACTGCAGTTGTTAAGTTAGTCACACGGTCGTTAAGTGAATCTGCCCCTCCCCCGTGGACTTGGCTTGTCGGAAGGTTGCAAAAGGTGATCGTGTGATGACCCCCCCCCCCCCGCTCGGGACGCTGCGTCCGTCATGAATATGAGCCGGTTGTCAAAACACCTGAATTTTGATCACAGGATCCTGTGGAAGCCACAATGATCGTAAATGTGGAAAAAACGGTCGTAAGTCACTTTATTGAGTGCCGTTGTTAACTTTGAACGGTTGTTAAGTCGAGGACTGCATGCATCACTCTCCCAAGAAGTGACGTCTTGTTGAAGAGGGGAGAAGCTGGGATCCAGTACAGATTTGGGGGTGAAGATTTAAGAAAAATCTTATTCCCGATAAAATGGCGTTTGAGATAAACCCAGAAAATGGGTGGCTTCTCCTCCTCTTTCAAACAGATGGTTATTTCTCTCAGGGGGGGGGGTCAGACTAGATGGCTTCTGAAGGACCCACCCAACCCTCCGAATTCCGCGTTTCCATTCCCCGCTTTGGCCCCCGATTGCGCCGATGCTTGGAACTTCGCTCTTTTCAAACCTTTTTTTAATTCCAGGTACGGCGAATGGTTGGGGCGCTGGTTGCCATCGGCCAGTCCCGGCTTCAACCGCACCACATCCAAGAACTCCTAGCGGCCCGGGATTTGATGGCTTACCCCCCAAACATCATGGCGCCCCCAGACGGACTCTTCCTCAAGCACGTGGAGTACTACCAAAGTGGTGAGCATCCAGGGTTCTAGTCCTCATGAACCCTCAGAAGCAGCTCAAACAGCTGTAGTGACATTTTTCAGTTTCCAGTTTTGGGGTACTGCTGTCCTCCCAACAGCAGGCCTGCTGGGGAGGGTCCTGTGGTTATCTCCCCTCTATTGCAGGTGGGGAGGGGAGATAGAATTGATGCCGACATCCACAAATTTGTCTGAAGTTGAAACCATTCCCCTGCTCAAGTCTTCCAGCTGCTGTATTCTGTAATTCCCCTGGTTTCTTTCCTTTCTCCGTTGTCTTACAGATTTGGAGACAGAAGACTGAAATGGACTATTAATTTCTGTCTTGAGGGGGCGGGCGTTATATACATTGCTGGAGGAGGAAGAGAAAAAAAACACCTCATTTTTCTTACGCTCTGCAGGCACGGGTTAATAAACCTGCTTAATCCGAACTTTGTCTGCCAAGAAACGATTCCTTTTTGGGGTGCCTGAGAAAGGAACGGACTCGGAATGATTTCGGATTTTAGTTCCTTCTTGGTCGTCCTAAAATATTCTCTGATAGGATATGGAAAACATCCATACAGCCGAGGTGGCGCAGTGGTTAGAGTGCAGCACTGCAGGCCACTTCAGCTGACTNTCTGGGAGTTGAAGTCCACAAGTCTTAAAGTTGCCAAGTTTGGGACCCACTGCCTTAAGGGCACCCCATTTTTCAGTGTTCTGCCATTAACTCATCTAAGTCAATTCACCAGGTAAAAGTACCATCTTGAGATTCTGACCTGAACTTAAAGTTTCTAGTCCCTAAGTAATAAATCAAGACACTACTGCTGGATGAAGAATTTGGTTTCCCTCCACCACAGCTACACCCCCCCCCCCAGCGAAGTACAAACTTTTGCCAGCTTTCACTCATGCCACCCATTGGGTTAAGAGTTTGCCAAACGTTTTTTAAGACTCCCTTTCAATGAATCTTGGCAGAAAAAAAGATTTGATCGCGTTTTTTACACGTTAAACCCCTTGACAACTGTGGAAAGAGTGAATCTTTTATTCCGTTGTTGTTCTGCTTGTCTTTTCACACACCTCACTCCCGTTATTGGGGGCAGGTTGTTAAGGTCAGGATGTAGACTTCATAAATTCTTTGAAGACTTTGGTTTTTCTGCTCTCTTAAATCTTGGGGGGGGAAATAACACCGATCTGCGTATTTCCCGCCACCTCGGTTGCCCTTTTGCAGAAAACCACACCTGCGAAGTGTCTCGCCCCAGCTTCCTGCACAAGACGTGTGTGGGAGGCCCTCGACACTGTGGGGCGAAGGCAACATCCTAAAAAGTCAAAAGGTGACGAAAAGTAAGCTCAGATATATCTTCCCAGGCTACCAGGACGGCTAAAGACAGGTGGATACAGGTAAGTTTTACAGTTTCTTTGTTTTTAATGGCGCAAAGGGGTCCCTTTAAAATAAACCTCCCGCCACAATCGGAGTGTTCCTATCATCCTTTTTCTTGACTTCTTCAACACCCCGTAAGAATTTTCACCGTCCTGAAAACTTGGACCCAAAACTTGCTCGGAACTTCTTCTTCCTTCTCTGCAAATTGGTGCTAATTGCTGCTTTCTTAAGGCTACCGTGGCTGGGGATGATGGGTGCCCCAGTCCAATATATAAAGAGAGGGGACTCTTGTGGGGGGGGAGGGGGGCAGCTAGCCTTTCAGTATTTTGGCTAAGCTGCGGTTTGGGCAACCCACCAAAAACTGAACCAAAGTCAGACTTGCATAAGCCCCAAGGGGTTGGACTAGAAAACCTCCAAGGTCCCTTCCAACGCTTTTCTATTCTATTCCTTATTCTATTCTATTCTTCTCTACAGTCTATTCTATTCTAAGTTCTATTTCTATTCTAATACTTCTAATTCTTATTTTTATTCTTCTATTCTAATTTCTGTTTCTAATTCTAATAATTCTAATTATTTCATTTCTATTCTTATTTCTATTTCTAATTCTTTTATTTTTATTCTTTTATTCTTATTCTATTCTATTATTTCTATTTCCAATACTAATTTTTATTTTTATTCTTACTTTTTATTTTTATTCTTATTCTTTTATTCTTACTCTATTCTTATTTCTAATTATAATAATTCTCATTCTTATTCTTTTATTTTTATTCTTATTCTTTTATTCTCGTTCTAATTCTATTCTAATTCTTTTATTTTTATTCTTTTATTCTTATTCTATTCTTATTTCTATTTCCAATTCTAATAATTCTAATTCTATTCTTTTATTTTTATACTTATCCTTTTATTCTCGTTCTTGTTCTAATTCTATTCTAATTCTTACTCTTTGATTTTTATTTTTATTCTTTTATTCTTATTCTATTCTTATTTCCAATTCTTATTTTTGATTTTTATTCTTTTATTTTTATTCTATTCTTATTTCCAATTCTAATACTAATTTTTATTCTTTTATTTTTATTCTTATTTTTTATTTTATTCTTATTCTTTTATTCTTACTCTATTATTTCTAATTATAATAATTCTCATTCTTATTCTTTTATTTTTATTCTTATTCTTTTATTCTTGTTGTATTCTATTCTATTCTTATTTCTATTTCCAATTCTAATAATTCTAATTCATATTCTTTTATTTTTATTCTTTCTTTTATTCTTGTTCTATTATTTCTAATTCTAATAATTCTCATTCTTATTCTTTTGTTCTTGTTCTAATTATATTCTAATTCTTATTGTTTTATTTTTATTCTTATTCAATTCTTATTTCTTCCTAATTCTTATTGTTTCATTTTTATTCTTATTCTTTTATTCTTATTCTATTATTTCTAATTCTAATAATTCTCATTCTTATTCTTTTATTCCTGTTCTTGTTCTAATTATATTCTTATTCTTATTGTTTTATTTTTATTCTTATCCTTTTATTCTTATTCTATTCTATTCTATTCTTATTTCTATTTCTAATAATTCTAATTCTTATTCTTTTATTTTTATTCTTATCCTTTTATTCTTATTCTATTCTATTCTTATTTCTATTTCCAATTCTAATAATTCTTATTCTTTTATTTTTATTCTTTCTTTTATTCTTGTTCTTGTTCTAATTATATTCTTATTCTTATTGTTTTATTTTTATTCTTATCCTTTTATTCTTATTCTATTCTATTCTATTCTTATTTCTATTTCTAATAATTCTAATTCTTATTCTTTTATTTTTATTCTTATCCTTTTATTCTTATTCTATTCTTATTTCTATTTCTAATAATTCCTAATTCTTATTCTTTTATTTTTATTCTTATCCTTTTATTCTTGTTCTATTCTTATTTCTATTTCTAATAATTCCTAA